ATTATAAATATATATAATACAATAATTATATATACAATTAGATTATATCTAGAGTCCAATAATCTTTTTTAATTTCGGCCAAAATCGAAACCAAAAACTGAAACTTTTATAGAAATCCTAGAAAGATTATATCATATGTGGTATAAAGAAGAGAGCATGAGAGACGCGCGTGCGCGCGCGCTCACACACATATTAAATATCATACTGTATATATGTATATATATATGTATATATACTATTTTGTCATAAATTTTATAATTTAATTATTGAAACAATAATTACACACATCATTATTATTATCTTAGTATTACAATTCAATTTCAAAATTTGTACTATTTTTGTAGTATCACAATCATATCGTTTACTTCAAAAGTGACACAATTGAAAAAATGTGATTGTTTTAATTATTATCATGAGTTAAGTTAAAGAGATTATTTTATCAATCATTAAAAGTAAATTAACTTAGCTTCACAGTCCGTCCTCCAAATATGTAGAGTATTTGTATGATTTTTTTAAGGTTTTCAAAGGAAATATAATATTTTTAGTGACACATTTTTAATTATCGTTTTTGGAAATAAAACAAGTCTTATGCAAAAAAATACTTAAAGTACTTAAGACAGTTTTGGTGATCGAAGTTTGAAGAAGTTGTTTGATTTATTTTGAATTTAATTATTTTAGTTGATAAAGGTAAATATAAATTGTTAGTAATTTTGTAAGTTATGTGTTATCTTTTTGATGAATTATATTATTTATTATAATTTTGTAAGATATACTGCAATAGTTATATCTTAAAGGGTAGTTTTTTTATGTGAAACGAAAATGACATTTAATCATGTTTTTAAGAGTATATTCTTTTTGCCGATTATTTGATTAGAAAATAATTTTCTGTTAAATTGAGAAATAGCTTTCCTCTTTTTCAAAAACTTAATTTTTATGTTATGTTATTTTTATAAAATAAGGGAACAATATTATATCTCAATAATAAGAAACATATTTAAAACATATTATAAAAATATTTTTTAAACAAATCTTTGGAAATAAACATTTTACATTAAAATAAATTTTAAAGTAAATGTGCTTTGTACTGTAAGTTTCATGGCACTTTGGTTTCATTGCATGTGCAATCTAAACTAATAATTGTAATTAAATAAATATATAGTGTAAGAAAAAATAATAGTTTTTCAACATTTATACTTGCGAATTACAACTTGATTAGTTTCGATTACATCATCAAAATCCTCCCTTTCAATTTTGGCCGAAATCGAAATCTAACCGAAACTTCAATTTTTGATTGAACTAGCTATAACTATGATAAAATCGAAATAGAATTTTTGGTTAGACATTAGATTTACCGCACATTTTACGTTATCTTTCATGTATAATAATGCTCTTTAATATCCTTTAAATATATCGATTTAGGTAAAATTATTTTACAAAATTTTTCCAAGACACCTTAAATTATATGCCGCGGGAAGGCAGGACGTCGAGAAACTTTGCGGTGCAGCAACATTGTTCTTAAATTATAGGTCATAAAGAACCTCGTTGCGAAAGTTGTAATTACTCCCATAAGTAATGGAAGGATATGAATGACCTATCAATCAACGAAAAACCAATATCGCGAGGTCAACAGTTTATTAAAATGACAAGTTATCCCTTTCGCGACGACAAGTTTCATCCCCTGACAAAAGATACCCATGAACAGGTAATACCGCGCCAAATCTAACAAGGTGACATGCTTGCCTGTAACGATGAAACTTTGTATGTAATCCGCAAGGTAACCCCCGCCCCGGCCGATGCACGATATTAAACCCAACGTGTCCGTAATTCTGCGCAGTCCTTTCCCCGTTCCTCTATCATTACGGCACCATGACGTTGTACATCCAACTATTTATGCAATTTCATCTCTCTCGTATAACTTACACTATTGAAATTAGCTACTGTAATTGGATTGCTACTCCACGATGGAAGAAGAGATTTAACGTACGAATGCGCCTCAAGAATAGAAGAGTTTAATTTCTGTATAATTTAATCTCAAAAATACATTCAAAAATAATACAACAAGTACGTTGCTTATTTCTGTTGTTTATGAAATTTTTATATTCAATATCTTAATCCTTAATTGTCATATTAATAATAATAACTGTGATTAATTTTTATTTATCAACTTACAACATTTTAAAGAATTTTTTATGTTCTTTTATAACATTATGCTTTCTGTGTGCATTTTCAATTTGACTGCATGAGCCTAATAACAAAAGCATGCATAATGCGACTAGAGAGATCTGTAATTCCGCAGTGTGACAAATAGGTCAAACGTGCATGGTCAGATCCGCTTCCTGCTACGTATCCACGTGTCCCATACCTGTACGCTTCATTACGAACCAGAAGTTCGGTGCACAATAACCATCTGTATCTATAGTATCTCGCTGTTTCCTTTGATATATCAAATACTACAAAGGGATTCTTGTCAACATTACAGTAAGCCAATTGCTACATCAGTGATCAAGAATCTATCAACTTCTATTTAATCAAGTAGAATTTTTACGTCAGTGCACTCTAATATAAATGTTCGATTGAATCTAGTTGAATTAAAACTAGCCCGTATAAAATTCAGGAAAAATTGCTCCATTTTGATATCTTAATTTTCTTTTGTCATCTTAATTTTCAAAAAGAAGTTATTTTCTTTAAAGGGATTCCAATGAGACAGAATTTCATTTTCGATTCTCAGAACGATGTTATATCGAAGTCATAAAATGTATGGCGCGGATTGGCAACGACAAACTTTGTAAATAGCAGTTTATGTATATGTGTGTGTGTGTGTGTGTGTGTGTGTGTGTGTGTGTGTGTGTGTGTGTGTATGTGTGTGCAGCCAACATTCGCGCAAAGTCCTGTGCTAGTCGAATGACAAGTCGCCAAACGAGTTTTGAATTGAATATTTCATCGGGCGAACTCGGGGGCTTATACCCAACACGACTTTCTCGTCTTGACAGGAGCATCAGTATCACACACGAGCAATATATAAATATATATTGAAAAATAAATGTGTACGGCAGGTAGTAAAAGCCGTGTAGGGCGAAAAAAATTTTATTTTTCAAATAAAAAATATCAGAACTTTTTCTTTACGCTTTTATAAAGCTGCAATAATACAGTGACCGTGGTGATGATTCTTTCAAAGCGCTTGATAAGATTGCGCCGCATTACTTTAAGTGCGACTTCAGAAAAATGGTCGTAACGGCGACAAGGTGAAACTTTCATGAGACTCTGAAAATGGGTAACTGTATGGGTAAAACTGTATCACTTTGAATAATTTATTTTTAATATGATGCGAATTATTACACAGGATTTGTCTTCGTATTACACAAATCAAAATAGATATTTCTTTTAATTAACAAATCAATAATTAATAGAGGAGAAATGTTAGACACACAGGATTTATGTCCTTGTATTCTACAGAGAAACATACATAGATATCTTTCTTAATTAAGAAATATTGATAAAAAAAAATTGTTAGGAAAATATAAGTACACGTTACATAACTTTGTGCTTTGCTGCAAAAATTCTACAGAATTTTTTGACGTTTTAATAAGCACTAAAAAAACAAGAAACTTAAATGACGCGCTCGTCCCTCGAGCGTGCACAATTTTTTTTCACATACTGCTATGAAAGCCTGAAATTGTATTGCATGAGCGCTCCAGAACGGTGCAGCGAACGACTCTTTAAAGTCTAATCGGTTCAGCATTGAAATCCGGAACCTACTACAAAGCTATGTAGGACGAATGTACATCTTCTTACTAGCTCTCGGCGGAAAAGCCAGCGCAAGCATCCACAGAAAGTAAATATCCGAATGGTCATGGAAGTTAATATAGATACGAGATTGTAGTTCATCGGAAATCGACAATGTAACCATTCAACCTGTAATTTGCCAATCGCAGCAAATAATGGAGAATAATTCCACGCTCGTTCACGAATAAAAAGATCCGAAATAACATTTTTCGATGATTCTCTTTTCTCGTATTTTTATTCGTATTGTCAATCAACGACTTTTTGTTCTCAGACAGAATCACGATTCAACATACGTTTTTACAGATTTTTTTTTTTTTACGTAAAATAAAATTTAATCACCCTCTAAACCGCATCACGCCGTAAAATTTTACATGTTATCGAAACTTTCCCATGCTCGCAAGTTCGGTGCAAGCGAGGGACATGAAAGTCTAACTTTAGCACCAAACGAATCACTCTTACGGCTCGGTTTCTCAGCTTAGCCACGTAGTGTTCAACTTTAGAGAAGGTAATTAAACTCGAAGTTCCCTGCTCTTCGATTCCAAATTTCTGCGCGACGTTTATTACGTTACAACGATGCTGGAGATTATTCGGTGCGATAGTCTGAGATACATTTTTGGGTCAATATGCTTAAGACATTTACGTGGATCTATTCTCTATACATTTACTTGGCACACAAACTCAATTTAATTCCTCTTTTCTTTCTCTTCTTGAAACTACAGCTGTAATAAATATAAACTGCGCATCCTATAAAGTTGTCACTATCAATTTAGAAAGAGTAAGGTAGTTTGATTCTTTCTTTCGCTCAAATATCAAATTGAAGAGAAGAGCTGATACAATTGAAGAGAAATGTTGATATGGTTGAACTTTTTCTACGCGGAGTATACTCGTAGATATGTTAAGATCACGAAATGCGCAGTTCATATTTATTATATCTGATTATACAACAAATAAATTGACGTTATTTGTTATCATTTCGACATTAAATGATGTCACTTTAACATTAGGTGTTAAAATGACGAAAAGTAACATCAACTTGTTTAATGAATAAAGTTAAACTTGCAGGTAAAAACGTAAGAATTACATTTGCAGAATATGTAGAGAAAAAAACATGTGAGAAATAAATCAACTTATCTTGTTTTGGCGATGTTCTGTTTCGATACGTATAAAAAAAAATTGCATTTGTATTTGCAATTTATACATCGCTACGTGTAACGCACCTTGCAATTGAGTGATATTCCTGGTGACTTTGTGGCTGTTAACAAGCTGCTCGCGCAGGTGTCTGTTGCGGTGCCGTGGATAATTGGCGATAACGATCGTGATTGCCGCCAATACGAGGCAGAACCTCGACCCCCACGCTGGTCCTGTCATCGCCCGTCGGATCTCGCATCCCCCGTGGTTTTTTAAATACAGTCGGGAATTGTTGGAAAGTCTATCGATGCTTTTGTACTGTATCCGATCTTTCTCTTCCTCTTTGTTCTGAAATTCAAACATCGCTATATAAAGATATAAAGAGATATACGAATCTGTACCATCTACACGCCATAAATATGAAACACAGTTAAATTATTGATAGATTGAGGCCGTTTAATAATGTTCCAGATAATAACTCGATATTATTTAACGCTGATGATGATTTCATGTTAAAATGACGACAAATAATGACAGCTTATTGCTTCTTGGAATATTGAATAGATAGGTAAATTAAGTAGATAAATTAAATAAGTAAAAAAACGTTAGATATGAGTCGAGACTAGATCTTGTTGTCTAATAATATTTCCATGCGAATTTTTTTTAAATACATTTCTAATTCTTCAAACTGCGCGTTGAACACCAGCCAGTTTTTGTGAAAACGCAGTTTTTAATTTACAAAATTAACAATGAGATGAAATAGTAGAAATAGATATATGTATAGAGGAAGATCGCCGATATACTGACATCACTTTGTTTTTAAACAATATTTCTCAAACGAAAGATAGAAATAAAACTTTAAAAGCATAAATACAAAGTGTTTTCTATCAAATAGTATAAACAGTTTTTATAATACCGTCTGCAATTTTGCATCCTCTATACAGTTACTTTAAAAATAACAAAACACTTTATATTTGTATTACGTAAAGCTATTTTCTTATATAAAAGTCTTCCATATTTTATAATTTTGCGTTTATGTGTATAGTATGTTTTGCGAAATTAATGATGACAGATTATTAACAAATCTAGCTTTTATTGTATATAAGAGAAAGATTACGTAATTAGATATATTATAACATTTATTTTTCTTATTAAAATTTAACAAATATTAGAACGTGAATCGATTGTGTTTCTCGTAGTTGCTGCCGCAGTGCGTATATTGTTCTATATTGCTTTTGTTCGTGTATGTGCATCTCGTCGAGTGGCGCGTGGAAATAAACGAAAATGGAAGTTACTGTGGACAACGCACAAGAAAAATGCGATGATGACATCCGAAACAAGTGAGAATTTAGATGCGCCCTAAAAAAATATATTATTATGTTATGCTGGGATGCATCTTCTTTTTCCTAAATCCATATTCAAAAGGAGAGATATATAATAAGCAAACGAAAAGGAAAATGCACGGAGGCGGTTTTGTCTTCTGAAAAAAAATTCATTCATCTTTTATGGTAAATTTATTTAAAAAAAAACATAATGCTCCCTGCTCAACTTTCAGCGGTACAATTTTACCCATATAAGTGTCACGTGCTTTTTATCACAATACGCGATGGATAATAAAATGAGAGAGAATTTTATTTTAACATAACATTTACATACGGCGTCGTCGGAAGATAGATCATCAGGTTCGTAAATTCACTTGAGTTTGTCGAGACGTAATATTGATTACGTCGTTATGTCAAGTATTATAACAAAATACGTTTAACAAAACGATTTAAACAATAATAAGATTAGAAACAAAACTGTTTATGTGAGAATCACCTAAATACGAAGAAAGTGCTACTTTCGATCAAAGAATAAATGTGTTAAATTAACACATATATTCTTTAAATTAATTTATCTTGGAAATATGACTGCGCACCGATTACTTTCAGATTTTCAAAATTAATTTGAAATCAATTGAAATATTAATTCCTTTAATTTTAATAAGAGACTATTTTAAAACCTAAAGAATTTAATAATAAAGTACTTATTCCGAAAACAATTTAATATTAAACAACATTAAATAAAAATCAACCAAGAAATATTCAACATAAATAAATGAAGAATCATATATTAGATAAAGCAAATGCCTAATAATATTTTTGTGTAAATTTTGCAATTTCTAGTTTAATGCAATGGTGCATCGATTAACCTAATATTAATTTATGGCACCTTATTTAAAATATGTGTCACAAAAATTAAATACAATAGCGATAAACTTGTATTAATCGGAAAGGGACATTATCGTTATAAAATAATTACGTAATTATTTGCAGGACACCGCGTTTAATATCGTTGTAATATAATTTTCAACTAGAGTTCACTCATCGAATTTCGCACTACTTGCTCATAATCTTCCATGTGTAATAAGCATAGTTTAATGTAAACGTAATATGAGTTCGCAATAGTCTGTAATTCCGCGCGTTCATTAGTAAAATTATATTAGATGTTCTAGAAAACTAAGCATTCTACTGTATAAAATTATAATAATTATCTCTCACCTTTTTTCCTCATAACATATAATTTATTTGATATATAAACCAAAATGGCACAATATTACGCAAAACCAGTCCAATCTGCCTCGTGAAAATTAAATAGCTTTCGTATTTTTAATATTAACTGAAATAATGCAAAAGTAGGGATGACCGTTGCGTCACTCATGTCGCAACAATTTAAGCTGCGAATCCCGCGGTGACGTTCACATAAGTTCTCGAAGCAGGGGGTGGAGATCAGCCTGAAACTCTGTGCAAAGTTTGGATATATTGTTTTCGAAGGCATTTACGCATCTAATAGAATTGATGTTGTGAAGTTAGAAGTTAGCTCGTTAGATTTCTTCGACAGATATTGGCATATTCCTGCCGCAGAGATGTAGAACGATTGTCAGAAGAGAAAAAGACAGACATGTAGTGAAAATGGGAAAAAAGAAGAAAGGAGATACGGGGAAAATGCGAGGTAATACATTGGATAGTTAGAAGGCAACGGCAGAACTAGGCAGCAGAACTTTTGCACTTTCTCGAGGATTCACCTGCAGCGAACCAGTTTGTGGTCGTAAAGTAGAAACTGCTATCTCTATCCGCGGGAAAGAAGATATAGGCGATCGGACGCCTTCGGGATTTTCATCTTGAGATATGCGCAACCAATCCGGTCGGTAGGTTGCTGGATTATTGTGTCCGAATAACAAGGTGAGAGGATTTGCAATGCAGATCTTGCCATTATTATACGGATAATGTTCCACGTGGTTTCTATGCATGCCTACTAAAATCTCTTCGCGCGTTTACCTCCGTCAAGACGACAAGCACGCTTTTTTTAAATGCTATTCGTTTAATAGCAATTGTTTCATAACTGCTTGACTAGCTCACGATAGTTCTGAATGTTGTTAAATTTTTAAAAGATTTAAAAGGTTTAGCAACAACTTTTCAAATGCCATTCACAGGAAATGTCGATTTACGATTTACGATTTCAATTTACGATTTACAGGAAATTGTCTTATTACATGCATTAAAGCTTTTTACATGAAAGTTTATGTGTGTGTATACATATATATGATATAAATTACTATTTGATTTTTTTTTTACATATTTTTATAATATTTTACAATAAAGATCGATATGTTCAAAAATGGCAAGATGAAATATTTACAAGTTCAGTAAAATAATTCACGTGAGCACAGCAGCGAGATATTACCAATGGCTGTAACATCGCAACACGTGCGACTTCCAAAGATTTCCTGCGGAGTAATGATACTGCTTTTTGGTTTTGGAAGTAGTGCAGAATCCGTTATAACGTTCCAGGAAGTCGTTTTCCACTGATATTTATGACGCGACGAATCACGTTACTTACTGTTGAAACTACAGTTTATGAACGAATATGGTTCACTGCACGTTTTTTTTGTTATTTTTACACACAATATAAATATTTTTAATAAGTATTTTAATAATCTAGATCTAACTTATATAACTTTGGCAAATACTGTTTTCAATTACGGTTAACAGAAAAAAATTGTACGGCAAAAATGATTTTGTCGAAATCCATAAAAACTTAACTATGAATGCAAATCTGAAAATACATAATTCTGTTGGATTCTTAAAATATATATAATTACGCAGAAATCTCAAGCTTGACAAGTAATGTAAAAAGTTTTTATTTTCTAATAATTAGTTTTGAGCGTCTTACCTACACGATTTTAATAGTTCAACAAAATTATTTTCAGATCTGCCTATCTAATTAACTTTTAAACTAACTTCAACAAAATTGTTTTTTTCACGTGTATAAAAAAAATTCTGAAATTTTTCTTTTTTTTTACACAATCATTTCTTCTCCTTTCTTCTTTTCCAATAATTTTTTATATATAGCGAATCTAAATATGCAGATACCTCTATGATATTGTCAATTACGCAGTGAATAAATAATGTATAAATCTAAAATATTATTTACGTTCCTTTAATTGAATTAATGTCAAAAGTATATTTCTCGATGACGCAACTGTCATGATATTTCTATAAACTGTCCAACACGCTTGAGATGTTTAACATCATACATAACTCGTGTTGTCACTACGTTTAACAATGGGATGAAGACAAAAGCATTAAGATATGAGATCATTTAAGCTACAGCGATTGTTGAAATAATACCAAATCCTCGACGGAGCTAAAGGAAAGATTATGGGCAAAAATTTCTGCATACAATGTAGGTTATATTCCTACGTTAACTTCGCTTTAGTTAGGATAATAAAGGATTAAAAAACGAAAAGATTCTTTTCTGTAAGTTGTTCTTTCTTTGTAACGATAATCTTTTACGTTCTGACGTGTCGAAAACATCGTACGAATTTGAGGCGCAAAAGAACGATTGTTCTGTTCGTCTCCCCGCACTTATTTTATATCCGCCTTTTTCCAGATTCGCCTCGAAAGATTCGAGTTCCACGAGGGCTCTTCGCGTAGTAAAGAACCTGCAGAGGACTCGACTGTCGGATCTCGCGGGAATTCAACTCGCGCGGCACGTCTTTGGGATCGATCGATCTCGCCCACCGCTCATGATGTCACGTTGCAACCGTCGGTTTACCGATACCAGAAGAAATGCTGTGGGAGACCACGCGAGAGATTTGCAGAGACACGTGCGATAGTGGATTTTATAATTTTAATGCTCTGCTTTTGAACCCCTCTCCCCTCCTCTCCGACAAAACCACAATTCCAATTGTTTACGGCGGTGGATGGTGGCTACGTACGGCGGAAATAATCACAATTGTTTGATGAATTACGTTAATGAGGAAGACACTGACTGTAAACATTGACTCTCGATAAATCATTGCGAGTGACACTCGCCACTCTGTGTTGCAAAAGAAAGGTTAAAAGGAAAAAAAAGTGAGAGAAAGTAAAAGAAAGAAAAAGATTTGGAACTCTAAATAGCTCATATACTACGATCGATAGTAATACACGAAATGCGAAAGAAAAGGTTAATGACGGAAAAGCGAAATGGAGAAGTTCGCGAACGAAAGAGGATATGTTATGGCTGGATCATATGTTATTCTAGATTCACACAAGTGACAACTAATTGCCTATACACTGTAACAGTAGGGTGCATAAATTCGAGTATTTTGCACATAGCCCGACGGAAGAGCCATTTATCATCCATTCGTTTTATCACAAAACTTTTTTAAAAGAGAAAAATTTGTCAGAGTATTTGTCGTTCAAATTCGGCTCGGAAATTGTGAGATGCCCTATATGCATCAGCACGGGTACAAAGAATTCTTTTGTAACGCTAGCATGGCTTATTACATGTCTTTTACACATTTTATTACACGAGTTTTACATCAAAAGCAGCACATTAATGAAAAATAAACGAGTTCTCCAAGTTCACACAAGATGTAACTTCAACTCTTTAACAGGATTTCTTGTAGCTATCTGTTAACAGAACTGAAGTTGCTCAGCTCTAAATGATTCTTAAAATGGTGAATTACACGAACAATTCGATTATTGATAGCAAAACTAACCTATTAAAAATATCTTCGCATAAACCTAGTTGTAATAAACAATTCTTTCCATAAACAATTGTCGCAATTGTTTATGTAATTGTTTACTTTCTTACGTAATTGTTTACTTTCTGAGAGGACTCTCTTTTCGTAACAGGAAAAGAAAAATAATTTAATTTCCACTGCCTGTGTAACGTGAAAAGGGAAACTTCCGCCGAAATGAAAACTACAGAGATTTCAGTGCCAGAATTGTATAGTACCTCCGCTATAGAACAATCGATTTACGAGTCGGTGAAAATGTTGAGATATTCTTCATCGAATTATTTTCGTGGCAATAATAATCCGTCGAAATTATCGCCAGACTTGACGTTTTGTTCTGACGTTCGTAATATCGAAGATTATTTTATTTTATTACGCGCAATTTATTAGAGTAGATAGTACGTTGGAGTATCCTCCATGGATTAGTCGCGATCGCTATCAATCACGGGCTGATTGGGGCGAGCTAGAGGCTTACTGCCCAATTTACGATGTGCGTAAATTGTCGGAAAATTACGATATCATATATGTAATTACGTTATTTGGATATCAATATAACTTAAAATACATAATTCAGTGTGATTATCCCTCAGGAAAACATCGTTGAATTGAGTTTTTAATTAAAATCGTGTTC